AAAAAAAGTTTTTAAACATAATTACAATACTATTATCACTACAAATGAAATTAATCCTTATACAATACTAATTCAGTGTTCCTATTTCCCCAATTGTGTCATAATATAGTTTGTTCAAATCAGGATCTCAGTAATGTTCTTTGCTTCCAGTGATTGAAATGTGTTTCTAGTCTCTTTTTACCTGGCTCACGCCTGTAATCCTAGCACCCTGGGGAGGCCGAGGCAGGTGGATTGCCTGAGCTCACATGTTCGAGACCACCCTGAGCAAGAGTGAGACCTCCTCTCTAAAAATAGCCAGGTGTTGTGGCAGGCACCTGTAGTCCCAGCTGCTCAGGAGGCCGAGGCAAGAGAACCACTTGAGGAGAAGAGTTTGAGGTTTCTGTGAGCTATGACACCACGGTACTCTACCCAAGGGCAACAAAGTGAGACTGTCTCAAAAAAATAAAGTCTCTTTTAACCCGTTGGTTCCCGTCCCTCTCCCTGCCTCTCCCTTCCCATTTGTATCCCTGAGTTGTCATTTAACATATTCTGCCCTGCTGCGCTTACTGGAGATTGGAAATTGCTAGATCTAGAGTTTGAGTACTCCCTAGGTAGAATTCTATCAGGAGACACTTCTCTCTTTTCAAGACATAAAAATGATTGTATACCAGTTCTCCCAGAGGCTGCCCTAGGCCCTGGAGGTGTGGGGCAGTGGACAAAAGAGAACAAAAGCTCCTGCCCTCACAGACGGTTGGATGTGTCCATTATCCCACATTCTTCTTGGGTCAGAATCAGAATCCAAAACCATCCTCTTGCCAGTACACTCAATTCCCGCTACTTTGCCATCACAGCCACTCCCCTCCCCGAGCGCAGGTGCGCCGTGTGGGGGTTACACTCCAGGGCAGATGGCTGCTGCCCTCGTCCCGAGGCCACCTGCTCACTCGGCATTCCTGTGTGTGTCTCTGGGAACCTCAAGGGCCCTTGAAAAGCTGCTGACAGCTTCTTTCTTTTCCCAAATCCCAGTTTCTCACAATTGAAAAATAAGAAATAACCCCAAGTCTGGAAAATATAGTAAAGCACTAGGTGCTAAGCACTGTTGTAACCATCTGACGGGTCTTCAGCTAACCTGAGTAAGAACTAATGCAGGCAAAACGCCTGGACTGGGGCCCAGCACACAGGAGGCATTCAATAACTATGAGCCATAATTTGAGGTTATTAAACTCAACCCCCACCATCCCACTCGATAGTGTTAGTTCTCACGGTGATCCCTGTACACAGTCCAGCCACCCCGGACCATCATCGAGTCTCCCGCTCTCCCATCCTTCATGCTCCCTCCTCTGTCCTGTCTGGTGACTTCCTGCTCCCTGGTGAAGATTCCAATATTCTTTCTCCACAAAGCCATCCCCAGGTGCCCTCTCCCCACAAGCAGATCCGTGTGCCTCCTTTGTCTTTGTTGGACACACACCCCACACCCACCTAGTACCTTACCTCACTGGTCTAACCTTCTCCAGGGTGAAAAGGAGAGAGACTGGGCTTTACGGAGCGCCCGCTGTACCGACCTGCAGAAGTGCCTTTAATCTTCACACGTACAGCCAGTGAAAATCAGAGCTGAAGTTACCACCCAAGTCCCACTCTAAATTAGTCTGTGTTCTTACAGTTACACCCTCATTCTTAAGTTTAAATCATATTTTAGGAGCCAGTGTTTGTTTTGACGGGCACTGCGTTCATTATGCAAGTGTAATTTTGCTGTACACGTGACTTTAGGCAGATGCTTGATGGATGGATGTCCTCTCCCTTGGTCGTGAAGGCATCCTTTTTTTGTTATATCAATTTCAAAGATTACCCAAATTCTCAGGCATGTTTTGCCGTACTTCTATACTTATGTGAAATAAAATTTTTCTTTTTTTAATATCTTTTTAATTTTTTTCACTACACACAAGTTATGAAACTATTAACTCATGTTTTCCTATTTATTTTGCTTATTTATTTATTTTGAGGCAAGAGTCTCCCTTTGTCATCCTTGGTAGAGTGCTGTGGTGTCACAGCTCACAGCAACCTGAAACTCTTGAGTGCAAGTGATTCTCTTGCCTCAGCCACCCAAGTAGCTGGGACTACAGGCGCCCACCACAACACCCGGCTATTTTTAGAAGCAGAGTCTCACTCTGGCTCAGGCTGGTCTGGAACCTGTGAGCTCAGGTGGTTCACCCACCTTGGCCTCCCAGAGTGCTAGGATTACAGGAGTGATCCACTGCGCCCAGCCCTCATGTTTTCCTTTAGTACTGCAAAGTTTCATGCTCTACATTGAGATTCTGATCAATTGTAAGTTTATTCTTGTGCATGGTTTAAGATATGGATCTAGATTATAAGAGAAGAAAAAAGCCCTTGGGAACAACAGGAAAAACTAGCATAAAAACTCTGCATTAGGCGGTGCCCGGAGCTCAGTGCCAGCCACATACACCGAGGCAGGCCCAGCCCAGGCCTGCTAAACAACAATGACAACTGCAACAACAGGCTGGGCGTGGTGGCTCACACCTGTTGTCTCAGCACTGTGGGAGGCCAAGACGAGTGGATTGCCCTGAGCTCAGAGGTTCGAGACCAGCATATGAGCCAGAGTGAGACCCCGTCTCTACCAAATAATTGCCAGGCATTCTGGCAGGCACCTGTAATCCCAGCTACTTGGGAGGCTGAGACTAGAGAATCACTTAAACCCAAGGACCTAGGGGTTGGCAGAGGTTGCTGTGAGCTATGATTCCACAGTATTCTACTGAAGATCACAAAGTAAGACTCTGTCTCCATTAAAAAAAAAAAAAAGAAAGAAAAAAAAGGAAAAGAAAATGACAATTGCAACAACGAAAACTAGCCGGGCATTGTGGCAGGCACCTGTAGTCCCAGCTACTTGGGAGGCTGAGGCAAGACAATTGCTTAAACCCAAGAGTTTGAGGTTGCTGTGAGCTGTGATCCCTTAGCACTTTACCCAGGGTGACACTTGAGACTCTGTCTCAAAAAAAAAAAACCTGCATTAGATAACGCTATTAAATATATGGTAAAATATAGCACTAGATACATTTTCTGAGTGTAATTTTGGTGTTGTCATTATGCAAGATGAGGTTTTACTGTTAGGAAATGCACGGTGCCATATTTAGGCTGGACGTGTCACAGTGTTTTCTATTTATCTAATTATATAAATAGATAGAGATTAAATAAATGTGACAGAATATTAGCAACTGACAGAGGGTATGTGGGTATTTATTCTACTATTCTTGCAACCTTTCCCATTTGAAAGGTTTGAAAATTTGCAAAGTAAGTGTGTGGGGGGGGGAGTATGCGTAGGGGGAAGGGAGAGCCAGGGCCCTTCAATGTAAAATTTGTCTCACAGAACTGATTTATAGTCTGCAGCCGTTTTTATAAAGCGAGTAAGAGTTTATTTTTAATAATTTTTAAAACTTCATGGTTATGCACTTTGTGACATCCATGTTGGCTTTTTATATTCTGAGTATTGGCTCTGCCCCCAAAAAGTTAACTTGCCTGATCCGTAACATCCAGGTCACATTTCCAAGCAATCACACTAGTAACGGGGAATCATTGACTCACTTCTCTTTCCCTTCCCAGGCTTCTACCCCCCACACCTTATTCACATAAGGTCCAGTTGAGTATCACTTGGAGAAAACTAATGCTATACAGTAAAAGAAGGTGACAGCAAATAGGGATAGACTAGAATGATCACATACAAATTATAGCAGCATAAAACCGAGTTGTTAGAGTAACAGAGTCACTGACACTTCAGCCCTCTCTGTCACTCACTCCCACATC